CTCCACAACCACTTCCCCAATAGAGTCATATTCCTTCTCCTAATACTCCCAAGCCCCAAACCACCACACGACTTACTCCTACACACTATCTCCCAGCTAACTTTATGATTCATCTTCTCCTCTCCCGGCTCCCATAGGAAATCTCTCATTAGCTTCTCTAATCTGTTGGCAATTTTCATTGGGATTTTAAATACCGACATGAGAAAGATGGGTAAGTTAGCCAGCGTGGCCTTAATTAGTGTAATTCTCCCACCAAGAGAGAGGTAGTTCTTTTTCCAGGATACCAATCTTTTTCCAAACCTTTCCATCACCGGGTTCCAAAAACTCTCTCTCATGGGATTATCACCTAATGGCATCCCTAAGTAGTTCAAAGGCCACCCCGAAACTTCACACCCCAGCACTTCAGCACGCTCCCTGATCTCTCCCTCCTCCAAATTCACCCCCACTACACAGCTTTTCCCAAGGTTAACCTTCAAATTGGACATTTGCTCAAACAGTTGTATCACCGACTTCAAGTTCTTGATAAACCTCACATTACCGCCTTCACAAAACAGAATCGTGTCATCAGCAAACTGTAAGTGAGTGAGGAGGGTTTCCACCCTCCCAACTCTCCAGCCTCTAATGAGCCCCCTAGAATCTGCTCTGTGAATCAGTTTCCCCAAAATCTCCGCAATTAAAATGAACAAGAAAGGAGAAAGGGGGTCTCCTTGTCTTATACCCCTACTGGCTTGAAAGAAATCTACCACTGTCCCATTCACTAGCATTGAATAATGACAATTCCGGACACAACCCATKATCCACTTACACCATCTAGCCCCAAACCCAAATTTAGTCAAAACTTTCCTCAAGAAATCCTAGTCCACCAAGTCATAAGCCTTTTCCAAGTCCAGCTTACAGACCACTCCCTTCTTCTTATCCCTCTTAAAGTTCTCCACACTCTCATTAGCAATTAAAATCAGATCTGTAATTTGTCTTCCACTCACAAAAGCTCCTTGATAGTGTGCAATGATATCTGGCAGTACCTTTTTTAGCCTCAAAGACAACACTTTTACAATGATCTTATACAAGCTATTAACCAAGTTAATTGGCCTAAAATCCTTCGGGTGTGATGCATCTTTCTTTTTTGGAATTAAGGCTATAAATGTAGAGTTCACACCTGGATTGACAATTCTTCTCTTGAAAAACTCCTCAAACACCCGCAAGAGATCATCTTTCAAGATATCCCAACAGTCCTAATAAAAAGCCATTGTGAATCCATCCGACCCTGGAGCTTTTGTTCTATCCATAGAAAACACAGCCTCCTTAATCTCTTCTAGATTAGAGCTTCTTTCCAACCTTCTCCTGTTCTCCACCCCTACATCTGGCCAATCCAAACCTTYTACTCACACCCTTCTACTCACAGGCCTTCTTAGAATAGATTTGAAGTGCTCCACACAGGCCCTGGCAATCTTTTCTTGTTGCACTAACTCAACTCCATCTACTACCAATTTGGAAATAAAGTTCTTCCTTCTCCTGCCATMTGCTAGAGAGTGGAAATACCTAGTGTTTCTGTCTCCCTCTTGCAACCATTTACACCGAGATTTTTGCCTCCAGCTAATTTCCTCCTTGTGCAGGCAGTCCTCTAACTGTCTTCTCAAGTCTCTCCTGAGATCATTGTCTTCCTCTCCAAATTCTCCCCTTTCCTCTTTAGAGTCAAGGCTTTCAATCTTATCCATCATGTCTCCCTTTCTTTATTCTATCCTCCCAAACTCCATCAAATTCCACTCCTTGATTCTTGCTTTCAAGAATTGTAGTTTCTTATGGAATCTCATCCCCTCCCATTCCACCRKYGRGTTAYACTCATRCCACCACTCCCTCACTTTGTTAGTAAACCCTGGATGAAGTAACCACATATTTTCAAATCTAAAGGGGGTAGGACCTCCACATCTTCTTTCCTCCTTACATAACACTATGGGCCAGTGATCTGAGGTCACCCTCGGGAGAGCTCCAGAAGCCAAGGTTCCCCAATGTTCTTCCCAATCCAAAGAGAACAGGAATCTATCTAGCTTAGAGCAAATGGGTCTAGATTGGAGATTTGACCATGTAAATGTCTTATGTGCTAGGGGAATCTCTTTAAGCTCAAAGGCATCCACAAAACTGTTAAACTTCCTCATGCTTATTGTCACCCTCTGGTTAACCTTATTGGACTCCTCCGAGAATCTGATCACATTGAAATCCCCACCCATGCACCAAGGCCCATCCCACAACCCTCTAACATCAGCCAGTTCCTC